TATCTGACGTCATGATTTCCACGGGCCTTGCACTCATTTCGCTGCGTAATGATGTAATTAGTGGTTCTTAATTAGATTGAAGGCTTTTTTTTTTGGGGTGGGGGGTTGTTTGGTTTGTGGTGCATGGCGTGACCGGTATTATTGTCGTCGGGATCATCGTCATTATCTGTATCATTATCAACTGTCAGTCTTCATTATCACGTCACCACCCCCACCGCTGTCTCTCTGCTTGCCTCCCTCTCCCTCCTCCTCGCTGCCTCCCTCTCCCTCCTCCTCGCTGCCTCCCTCTCCCTCCTCGCTATACCCTTTCCCTTCTCTCTGCCCCCCCACCCCCCAAGTCCGTCACACCTGTCCACACACTGATTTATCTCTATCTATTTCCATCTATCTGCATACCTTGAGAGGAACTGCCATGTCCATGTCTGTCCGAAGAGGCGAGCCACAGGGGGCACGGCAGGCAGAGGGGGGCGGGAGAGCATCGTTATAAAGTTCTTCGAAAAAGGGCGTGTGTGAGCGGCGAGGCTGGAGGTAGGGGGTAGGGGCGGGTTCAAGGAAGGGGAGAGGAAGGGGAGGGGAAGGGGAAGGGGGGTTGCTTGTAAGCTAGCCAGCAGGAAGTCGCGGAAAAGGCGTCGGATGTCTTTCGTTGGTAGGGTGACCCTTTCCCTTTGTTCCTTGTTGTTTTTTCCCCCCTCCCTCTTCCCTTTTATCTTCACCAACCGTCCTTCCTCTGCCCTTCCTTAGTCTTTTTCAACACCCTTCCCCCTTCCCCTACCCTACCTTACCTTACCTTACCTTACCTTCTCTCCCTCAAGTTAATTTTCTTCTTGTTTCTTCATCCCACCTTCCTTCCATTCGCTCTATTCCTCACATTCCATTCTTTCCTCACCTTCCTTCCGCTTCCTCTCCCTCCCCCTTTCTTCCCCCCCCCCCCCTTCCCTTACCCTCTTTCTGGCCCATCTTCCCCTCTCCTCTCTTCTTCCTCTTCTTTTCCCATTCTTCACTCTCTCCCTTACACTTTCCATTTCGCAGTCGTTATCCTTCTCCCCGCCCTCTTCCCTCTCACTATTCCTCTTTTCTCTCCTCTCCTCTCCCCTCCATCTCCTCTATCCTCCTCTTCACTCTTCTCCTCTCCTCTCCCTTTCTTTTCTTCTCTCCTCTCCTCTCCACTCCTCTTTTCCTTTCCTCTCCTCTCCCCTCCTCTCCCCTCCTCTCCTCTCCTCTCCTCTCCCCTCCTCTCCCCTCCTCTCCTCTCCTCTCCTCTCCTCTCCCCTCCTCTCCTCCTCCCTCCGTCCCAGCCCATTGTGCCCTAATGCCCGTCACTCAAGGAGGCTTCAGCGCCTCGCACCTAGAGGCTGCGCCGGGACATCGCGTCAGTATTTAGTCAATCCTTGCGATTTAATCTAAAGTAGCCCCAGGTCAGGCACCTCGCGCTCCCCCTTTCCCCCTTGACACCCCCGTGACACCCCCTGACACCCTTGACACCATTTCCTCTCATGACACGGTGACACTCCCATGTGTTTGCAGGGGGGTGTATGTTTCCAAATGTGTTGTGTAAATGTGTGTGTGTGTGTGTATATATGTGTATATGTATATATGTGTGTGTGTGTGTGTGTGTGTGTATGTGTATGTATGTGTGTGTATATATATATATGTGTGTGTATATATATATATGTGTGTGTATATATATATATGTGTGTGTATATATATATATGTGTGTGTATATATATATATGTGTGTGTGTGTGTGTGTGTGTGTGTGTGTGTGTGTGTGTGTGTGTGTGTGTGTGTGTATATATATATATATATATATATATATATATATATATATATATATATATATATATATATATATATATATATTTTTTTTTTTTTTTTTTTTTTTTTTTTTTTTTTTTTTTATACCGCTGTTTATACCGCTTTTATACCACTTCCTCGTAGGGTAAATTTAACGCTTGTGGTTCCTGTTTGTACTCTACGTTTTATTTACTTTCCTCCGACACTCTCTTTTGAAGAAAAATAATTAATTAAAGCCGAAGGGAGGCCGGGGGAATGGAGTGAAACAGAGAGGCGGAATATAATAATTCCCTTCCGCCGACTCAAAGCGAGCGGGGGTGAAGTGTCTTCGGATTGTCTCGTGCGTTTAATTGGATCCATGCCGTTGCTCGCGCCGACACGCCGACAAATTGCTGCTTTCCTTCGTGGAGGCCGTCCTGGAGCTTCCGTTTCTTCTGTCCGTTTTTTCTGTTTTGTTTTAAACATTTATTTATATTTTTTTGTGGTAGGGTTTTGTTTTCTTTGATTGTTTTGATTCTTTTTGTTTCTTTCTTTCTCTTTCTCTCTCTCTGTCTCTCTCTCTGTCTCTCTCTCTCTCTGTCTCTCTCTCTCTCTCTCTCTCTCTCTCTCTCTCTCTCTCTCTCTCTCTCTCTCTCTCTCTCTCTCTCTCTCTCTCTCTCTCTCTCTCTCGTGTAATAGACTTTGAGGTGTGAGGGCCCTTGAATTATACAAATCAGAGGGGGGGAGGGGGTATGAAAGGGGGAGAAAGAGGAGCGTAGGTTGCCTTGGGTTGGGGCGAAGAGGAGGGGAGAGATCGAGAGGACAGAGAGAGATAGGGAGAGGAAGAGAGAGAGATAGGGAGAGGAAGAGAGAGATAGGGAGAGGGAGAGATAGGGAGAGTGAGAGATACCGAGAGAGGAAGAGAGAGAGGAAGAGAGAGAGGAAGAGAGGAAGAGAGAGAGGAAGAGAGGAAGAGAGAGAGGAAGAGAGGAAGAGAAGGTCAAGGAGGAGGAGGTCGAATTCACGTGGAATCGACGATCTTCGGAACCGGAAGTCGGACTGTTTCTCCTTGCATGCTCCTCCCCTTTTCTCTCGATTTCTCTCTCTCTTCTCTTCTCTTCTCTTTTATCTTTTCTCTTCTCTCTTTTCTTCTCTCCCTCTCTCTCTCTTCTCTTCTCTTTTATCTTTTCTCTTCTCTCTTTTCTTCTCTCCCTCTCTCTCTCTCTCCCTCTCCTTCTCCCCCTCCCCCTCCTTCTCCCCATCTCCCTCTCCCTCCCTCTCCCTCTCCCTCTCCCTCTCCCTCTCTCTCCACCCTTACTCTCTTCTCTTCGTCGGGAACGTGTGTTTCGGAAGGCGGATTGCACGGCGTGTTGCAAGGGTGCGAGTGCGTGCGGGTGTATGGGTGGGATGGGAGGCGGGATGAGGGTGATAGGCGAAGGGAGGAGAAGAAGGAGAAGAAGAAGAAGAAGGAGTGAATGAGTGAATGAGTGAGTGAGTGAGGGAGGGAGGGAGGGAGGGAGGGAGGGTGGGTGAGGGTAAAGAGAGGGAGGAGAATAGGCAAAGAGAGGAGAGAAGGAGGGGGAGGGTAGGAGGGTAGGCGAAGGGAAGGGAAAGGAAGGAGAGGGAGGACAGGGCAAGGGAGGAAGGGTCGAGGGAGGTTAAGGGAAGGGGGGGGGGCGAGGAGCAGGGCGAGGGAGTGGCCAAGGGGGAAGGGGGAGAGGGAGGGGGGGAGGGAGGGAGGGTGTGAAAGCGAGGAAGGAAGAGAGCAGGGGCGAAGAGGAGGAAATAAGGGGGGGGCGAACAAGGAGAGAGGGAGAGGGAGGGAAGAGGCGAGGGGAGCAGGAGAGGGCAAGAGGGGGGGGGAGGGGGAGGTGATGACGTCGTAAAGAGCAGCTGCTGGTTTCCTTGGGTGCGACGACGGGGGGGGGGGGGGCGTGGGGGGGCACGTGTGTGATTTGATGGGTCTTGTTGGCTGCGGTGTTTGTTTGTTTGTTTTTAATTTAAAGTTTGTATACTAACAGTCAGTGGATTTGGTTGTTGTATTTGTTGTAAAGTGATTGTCATCGTTATTGCTAAAATAATTCTTAATGGATTATAAAAAATCTACTATTATTGTTATTGGTAATTGTCATAGTTATTACTATTATTATTATCTTACTATTATTATCATTATTATTATAGTGTTGTTGCTGTTGTTTTATGTAGTTATTACTATTATTATAACTATTATTATTATTATCATTGTAATTGTTATCACTATCGTTATCGTTATCTGTTTTAACTACTACTACGACTAATAATGTCATTGTTATTTTGTTTTCTCATCATCGTCATCATCCCTATTGTCATTATTATTATTATTATTATTATTATTATTATTATTATGGAAGCTTAACTGCGCAAGGTCATTATATTAAATTACAAAATCAAATATCAAAATCGAGCGGAAAACAAAATGACGAAAAGAAGTGAAACTCAGAATCCAGATATGAGGTCCGCCTTCTGCGCTCTCGTGCATTTTACACTTAGCAGGAAGGACGCGATGTGACTCGGCTTTTGTATGTTAGTTTTGCGATGCCTGGCAATACTGCACTCCGGATGTCCATTACATCGCCGGGATTTTTGGGAAGAGTATCAATAGTTCTTCAGAGTGAGAGGCCGGGTTCTCTCTCTCACTCTCTCTCTCTTTTTTCTTTTTTCTTTTTTTTTCCTTTCTTTCGTTTTCTTTTTCTTCTTCTGTTTCTTTTTTTTATCGAGAGATTTTCTGTATGGATTATGCTTAATCTGGAATGCAGGGAGAGAGGAAAATCATTTTGAATTTGGTTTTGTGTGTTTCCTTTTGTATAAAGAA